GGGCGGCTTTCTCGTAATCGACGACTTCTGGGGATCGTGGCAGTGGGCTGCCTTCGAGCGGCAGATCCGCGAGGTTTTCCCGGATACCCGATCATCGATATCCCGATCGAGCATCCGGTCTTCAACACCGTGTACCGGATCGACGAGATCATGCAGGTACCGGCGATCGGGACTTCTATGGCGGGCGGACCTGGGAGCAGGACGGCTACGAAGCGCACGTCCGCGGCATCTTCGATGAGAAGGGCCGGCTGATGGTGCTGATTAACTGGAACACTGACCTGGGCGACGCGTGGGAATGGGCGGAGCGCCCCGAGTACCCGCTGAAGTTCTCAACCTTTGCCGTGGAGATGGGCATCAACTTCATCGTGTATGCGATGAGCCACTAGCCCTTCGGCGCCATGTTCGACGCGATCTTCGAGTTCTTCTTCAAGTACCGCCCGCTCATGTTCGAGCAGGGTTATTTCGCGTTGCGCGCGTCCTGGGTCGGCGGCCTTGCCGCCCTGGCCGCGATCGTGGCCGGCTTCGCGACCTGGCGGTCATACGCGCAGGTGCGGGGTAACAGCCAGCCGGTCGATCGGCTGATCCTGACCGTCGTCCGCCTCGCCGCGTTCGCGGTGCTCGCCTTCTGCCTGATGCAGCCGGTGCTGATCCTGTCGTCCGTCGTGCCGCAGCAGAACTTCCTCGGCATCCTGATCGACGAGTCCCGCAGCATGCGGATTGCGGACACCGACGAGACGCCGCGGCTTCAGTTCGTGCAGGAGCAGCTCGCCGCGACGGAGGGTCCGTTGCGCGCTGCGCTGAACGAGCGCTTCTCGCTCCGCTTCTTCGGTTTCGCCAACGAGACGGATCGTCTCGACGTCGTGAACGAACTGACCTACGACGGGACGCGCACGCACCTGGGGCAGGCACTGGAGCGGGCGCAGGATGAACTGTCCGACGTGCCCCTCTCCGGCCTCGTCGTGGTGACCGACGGCGCCGACAACGCGGCCGAAGGTCTGGCGGAGTCGTTGTTGCCGGTGCAGGCGGCGGGCGTGCCGGTCTTCACGGTCGGCCTCGGGCGCGAGGAATTCGATCGCGACATCCAGCTCGGCCGTGTCGACACGCCCCGCCGGGTTCTCCGCGGCGCGTCGCTCGTCACGGATGTCGTGGTTTCGCATCGCGGCTACCAGGGCGAGACCGTGAGCGTGCAGGTGGAGGACGAGGGCCGCATCGTCGGCACCGAGGAAGTCACGCTCGGTGCGGACGGCGATCTCGAGACGGTGCGACTCCGCTTCACCGCCGGCGAGGAGGCCGCGGCTGTTCACCTTCCGCGTCACCCCGCAGCCGGGCGAGATGGTGACGCAGAACAACGTCCGCGATTCGCTCGTCGTGGTCGACGACCGGCGCGAGAAGATTCTCTATTTCGAAGGCGAGCCCCGCTTCGAGGTGAAGTTCCTCCGCCGCGCGGTCGAAGACGACGAGAACCTGCAGGTGGTGATCCTGCAGCGAACCGCGGAGAACAAGTTCATGCGGTTCAACGTCGACGGTCCCGACGACCTGGTCGGCGGCTTCCCCACGACGCGAGGCGAACTGTACGACTACAGCGGGCTCATCCTCGGCAGCATCGAGGCGAACTACTTCACGCCGGATCAGCTCCGGATGATCGGCGACTTCGTCAACCACCGGGGCGGCGGCCTCCTGATGCTGGGGGGGCGGCGCTCGTTCGGAGAGGGAGGCTATGCCGGGACGCCGGTTGCCGACGTGCTCCCGGTGGTGCTGGGCGAGGAGGCGGCCGACGGCGACGAGAGCTTCTTCACCGAGATCGCGGTCGAGACGACCCGCGCCGGCGCGACGCATGTCGCCACGCAGATCGCCGACACGGAAGAGGCTTCGGCAGCGCGCTGGCAGGAACTGCCCCCGATCACGGTGGTGAACCCGATTACCGAGGTGAAGCCTGGCGCGACAACGTTGCTGACCGGTTCGGGCGGCGACCTGGTGCTGCTGGCGTTCCAGCGCTACGGCGCCGGCAAGTCGCTTGCGTTCCCGGTGCAGGACTCCTGGACCTGGCAGATGCACGCGGACATCGCGGTCGATGACATGACGCACGAGACCTACTGGCGGCGGCTGCTCCGCTGGCTGGTAGACGGCGTGCCGGATCAGGTGACGATCGACCTGCCAACTGACCGCGCGCAGCCGGAGGAGACGGTGGAGATTCTGGCGTCCGTCGGCGACGCCAACTTCGAGGAACTGAACAACAGCCTCGTGATGGCGTCGGTCACCCACCCTGACGGCAACTTCACCGACCTGCCGATGGAGTGGACGGCCGAGCGTGACGGCGAGTACCGCACATCGTTCACACCGTCCGCCGAGGGGTTCTACGAGGTGCGGGTCGAAGCGATGTCGGGCGACGAACTGCTGGGCGAGGATGTCGCCTACGTGCAGGTGTCGCCGAGCGACGCCGAATTCTACGACTCGACGATGCGCGCGCCGCTGCTGGAGCGGATTGCCGACGAGACGGGCGGGCGCTTCTACACGCCGGAGACGGTCGACACGCTCGCGGACGACATTCAGTACGTCGGCGGCGGCGTCACCGTCGTTGAACAGCATGACCTGTGGGATATGCCGGCGCTGCTCCTCCTCCTCGCTCTGCTGGTGCTGGGAGAATGGGGTTTCCGCCGCTTGCGGGGGCTGGCCTGATGCGCTTGGCGGTTCGAACCGCGGCAATCGCCGCGGCGCTGCTGTTTTCCGTTTCCGCTGCGCCGGTCCGTGCGCAGCAGACGCAACTGCTGCTGGTGGTCGGCCTGGGTGGCGACCCTATGTACACGGAGCAGTTCCACGGCTGGGCGACGTCGTTGATCGACTCCGCCATGGAGAACTACGGGGTGCCGGCCGACAACATCACGTATCTTGGCGAGAAGGTGGAGATCGATCCGGAACGGATCGCTGAGCGCTCGACGCGCGAAAACGTCGCGGCCGCGATCGAGGCGATCGCCGAGAGGGCCGGACCAACCGACCATGTCGCGATCGTGTTGTTCGGCCATGGCACCTTCGCCGACGGACCAAAGTTCAGCTTGCCGGGGCGCGACCCGTCGGCGGAGGACTTCGCGCCGATGCTCGACCAGCTCGGTCGCCGCCGCGTCACGTTCGTCAATACGGCGAGTTCGAGCGGGCCCTTCGTCGAGGCGCTGTCGGCCGAAGGCCGGGTCGTGATGACGGCGACGCGCAACGGACGCGAGTACAACGCGACGCGCTTCGGTGGCTATTTCGTCGAGGCGTTCGGCGAGGGCGGTGACGAGGCGGATCAGGATCGTGACTCTCGTGTCTCGATGCTCGAGGCGTTCACCTACGCGCGGCTGAAGGTGCTCGCCGAGTACGAGACCGAAGGGACGCTCCGGACCGAGCACGCGCTGCTAGACGACAACGGCGACGGCGAAGGGACCGAGGAGCCGGATCCGCTCGAAGGGGACGGGATGCTGGCGCGGACCGCGTTCCTGACGGCCGGCGAGGTGCTTGCCGCCGAGCGGATGCCGTTCGCCGACGACCCGGAACTGGCGCCCCTCTACGCCGAGCGCACCGACCTCGAAACGCGGATCGACGAACTGCGGATCCTGCGGGGCGGCGCCGATCAGGCCGCCTACGAGGCGGAACTGGAACGGCTGCTGATCGAACTCGCCCTCAAGAGCCGCCAGATCCGTCAACTCGAAGAAGTCAGGGAAGGCGCGGCCGACGCGACGGATCCGCGATGAGCATGCGGACCGTGGTGGCGGCGTCGCTCCTCCTGGCGGTTTCGGCCGCCGGGATCGCGGGCTTCGCGTACAGCGGCGCCCCGGCCGACGGGGCGGAAGATGTCCGGCCCGGGAATGTCCCCTACGACGGCCGCTTCACCTTCGTGCGGATCAGTTACGAGATGTACTGGGGCCTGCGGAGCGGTGCGTTCCGGGGCGACGTGAAGTGGGCGCATGACTATCCGCACGCGGAGTCGAACTTCGGCCGGATCGTCGAGGAGATCAGCAACCTCGATATCGTGCTTGCCCCGAACGGCGGCAACGTCTTGCCGCTCGACGATCCGATGCTCACCCGCTACCCGATCGTCTACATGGCGGAGCCCGGCTTCTGGCGGCCGTCTGACGAAGACCTCCAGGCGCTCGGCAACTACCTGCGCAAGGGAGGCTTCATCATCTTCGATGACTTCACCGGGGACCACTGGTACAACCTGACGCGGCAACTCGACCTGGCGATTCCGGGGCTCGTGCCGGTGGAACTGACCGCCGATCACCCGATCTTCCATTCGTTCTTCGAAATCGACACGCTCGAGATGGCGCCGATGTATGGTCCGCCCCCGACGTTCTGGGGAATCTTCGAGAACAACGATCCGACCGGGCGGATGATGGGGATCATCAATTACGAGAACGATATCGGGGAGTACTGGGAGTACTCCGACACCGGCTGGTTCGCGGTCGACGTGACGAACGAGGCGTACCGGTTCGGGGTCAACTACGTGATGTACGCACTGACGCATTAACACTGACGCACCTGACCACTGGAGGACTGATTCGTGCCACTGAATATCATCGGCAGGCCCGAGCCGAACGACGAGGAACAGACGGGTACCGAGCAGACAGTCGCGACCGGCCCCGAGCCGGACATCCCGGCGGCCGGCTCGGCTGCGGTCGCCACGTTACCTGCCGGCTCGGGCGACAGTGCGGCGGGCGATCTGGAGTCGGCCGATGACATCGCGCTGGCTGACAAGATGAAGGCGGGCCGCGAGCAGATTCTCATCGAGCTTCATAAGAAGATCATCGGCCAGGACGAGATCATCAACCAGACGCTGCTTACGCTTTCGTCGGCGGCAACAGCCTGATCGTCGGCGTGCCGGGATTGGCGAAGACGCTGCTGATTCAGACGATGGCGCAGGTGCTGGATCTCAAGTTCGCGCGCATTCAGTTCACGCCCGACCTGATGCCGTCCGACATTACCGCACCGACATCATTCAGGACGACCCGGAGACCGGCGGGCGTGCGATGGTCTTCGCGCCCGGCCCGGTCTTCACCAACATCCTGCTGGCGGACGAGATCAACCGGACCCCGCCGAAGACGCAGTCGGCGCTGCTCGAGGCCATGCAGGAGCACCGCGTGACGGTGCAGGGCCGGACCTACCAGCTCGACGAGCCGTTCTACGTCTTTGCGACGCAGAACCCGATCGAGCTCGAGGGGACGTATCCGCTGCCGGAAGCGCAGCTCGACCGGTTCATGTTCCACATCGTGATCGAGCATCCACCCGAGCACGAGGAGATGGAAGTGGTCCGGACCACGACCATCACCAACAACCCGGAGTACAGCACGCGGTGAGCGGGCCGACCTCGTCGCGTTCCAGGAGCTGGTCCGGAAGGTGCCGGTCTCCGAGCCGGTGATGCGCTACGCGCTCAACCTGGTTCGCACCAGCGCTGAAGGACGACAGCGGGCCGGAGTTCGTCACGAAGTGGGTCCAGTACGGGCGCCAGCGTTCGCGCCGCGCAGTACCTGATCCTGGGCGGCAAGGCGCGGCGCTGACGCAGGGGCGCTAACCACGTCAACTTCGACGACATCCGCGCGCTCGCCCCTCCGGTGCTCCGGCACCGTCTGCTCCTCAACTTCCATGCGGAGTCGGAGGGGATCACGTCGGATCAGATCGTCGATCAGCTCCTCGAGGCGGTGCCCACGCCAGCGTCGCGGATGTAGCAGCCGGCCGCGCGACCCGGGCAGACACCCGTTAGAGGAAGAGGACTAGAGGACAAGGAAGCAGCGCGTGCCGACCACGACCAGCCCGATCAGTCCTGGCGCCCGGTTCGTCGATCCGCAGGTGCTCGCCCGGATTGGCAACCTGAAACTACTGGCGCGCAACGTGGTGGACGGCTTCATCAACGGTCTGCACAAGGCCCCGTACCTCGGCGTGTCGGTCGACTTCGCCGAGCACCGGGGCTACATGCCGGGCGACGACATCCGCTTCATCGACTGGCGGGTGTTCGCCCGGACCGACCGCTTTTACGTGAAGCAGTTCGACGCGGATACCAACGCCAACTTCTCGGTGCTGTTCGACGTCTCGAAGTCGATGAGCTTCTCGAGCGGCGGGATCTCGAAGCTGGACTACGGACGCTACCTGGCCGCCTGCCTCACCTACTTCGCGACGACCCAGCGGGATCGTGTCGGTATCGTCACGTTCGACGACGACATCGTCACCCGGGTCCCGCCGTCGGCGAAGCATCTCGACATCGTGCTCCACACGCTCGACCGGATCAAGGCGGGCAACCCCGGCTCGTTCGTGAAGCCGCTGTTCCGCGCGACCGAGTTCTTCAAGCGCCGCGGCATCCTGCTGGTGATCTCGGACTTCTATGAAGAGCCGGATGCAATCGTGAACTCGCTGAAGCCGCTCAGCTATGGCGGCAAAGACCTGATGATCTTTCATGTGCTCGACCCGGCGGAGGTGAACTTCCCGTACGACGATGCCACGAACTTCAAGGACATCGAGACGGGGCGCCGCATGCCGGTGGTGCCGGAGAAGCTGCGCGAGCAGTATCGTGCGCTGGTGCAGGAGCACATCACCACGCTGTCGAAGCTCTGTGCCGAAAACCGGATCGACTACGCCTTCTTCGACACATCGCAGCCGATGGATCATGGGCTGTTCAGGTTCCTCGCGATGCGCGAGAAGCTGAACCGCGTGCGCTGACGCGGACGAGGGGTGGACTGAATGGGCTTGCTGGCGCCGTTGTTCCTGCTCGGGGCGGTGATGATCGCCGTTCCGATCATCATCCACATGATTCAACGCGAACGGAAGGAGGAGGTGGAGTTCCCCTCCCTGATGTTCGTCAAGAAGATTCCGTTCCATTCGTTCCGGCGCCAACGGGTCCGCAACTGGTTCCTGCTGCTGCTTCGGTGCGCGGCGTTGCTGCTGCTCCTGTTCGCTTTCACGCGTCCCTTCTTCCGTGCCGCGGCGTTGGCTGCCGTCACCGATGGCGCACGCGAGGTCGTGGTGCTGGTCGACCGTTCGTGGAGCATGGGCTTCGGGGATCGGTGGGCATCTGCACAGGCCGCGGCGACGGACGTGCTGGACGATCTGGCGGCGGATGATCAGGCGACCGTCATCCTGTTCGACAGCGGCGCGGAATCGGGCCCCCGCTCCACCATCGACCGGGCGAGCCTGCGCAGCCTCGTGACGAATGCCGACATTGGATCGGGCGTCACCCGCTACGGGCCGGCGCTGAAGCTGGCCGAGGGGATCTTCGAAGCTTCGGATTTGCCGCGCCTGGAAGCAGTGCTGATCAGTGACTTCCAGCGGAGCGGCGTCGAGAGCGCCTCCGGTGTCCGCTTCCCGACGGGGACGGTGCTGACGCCGATCCAGGTGGGGGGCGACGAGGTGGATGTCACGAACGTCAGCGTCGCCGGGGTCCTGTTTCAGCGGGAGTACTTTTCCGGCCGCGAGCGAATTCAGGTGGCAGCACGGTTGACGAACCGGAACGCCACCCCGGTGAGCGGTCTGGATGTGATGCTCGAAGTGGAAGGCCGGGAGGTGGAATCGCTATCCGCCGACTTGCCGGAAAGCGGATCCGTGACGGTCGACTTCGCCCCGGTCACGTTGGGTGACGAGCCGATGAATGGCGCAGTCCGCATCGCGGCCGACGCCCTGCCGGCAGACGATGTCTTCTGGTTCGTCGTCTCGCCCGGCCAGGTGGTGACCGTGCTCCTGGTTGAGAACGGCCGTGCCGGCGACGATTCGAACCTCTTCCTGACCCGCGCGCTCGGCATCGGATCCGAACCGGCGTTCGATGTCCAGACCGTCAACATCGACGCGCTCACGGCATCCGACCTGGCGGACAGGGAGGTGGTGATCCTGAACGATGCGCGGCCGCCAACGGGCGCGGCCGGCACCGCGCTCAGGACGTTCGTCGAAGACGGAGGCGGGCTGTTCATCGTCTCGGGCGAGCGGAGCGCGTGGCCCTCCGGCGCCCCCGACCTGCTTCCGGGGGCGCTCGGTCCCCCCGCGGACCGTGACGGCCGCGGCGGCTCCCTCGGCTTCGTCGACTACACCCATCCGGTCTTCGAGGTGTTCGGCGCGCCCCGTAGCGGCGACGTGACGACGACCCGGTTCTTCCGGTTCCGCCCGGTCGAGCCGACCGGGGACGCGACCGTGCTGGCGCGGTTCGACGATGGCAACCCGGCGCTGATAGAGCGGCGTATCGGCAACGGCGCGGCGCTGCTCTGGGCGTCGACCATCGACACCTTCTGGAACGATTTCGCGAAGAAGCCGGTCTATCTGCCGTGGGTGCACCGGGTGGTCGAGTATCTGGCGTCCTATTCGCCGCCGACCCCCTGGTTCTCTTCCGGTCAGGTGCTGAATCTTGCGGAGCAGGATGTCTCGCTCGGCGACGGCGGGGCGGGGGCCGCGGACTACATCGTGATGTCCCCCTCCGGCCAGCGGCTGCCAGTCGATGTCGGCGGGCGGGCCGGCTACATCGACCTGACCGAGCAGGGCCTCTACGAGGTGCACGACGGGAACTCGCCGGACGCAGTTCCGCTCTCGCTGGCCGTGAACGTCGACCTGGCGGAGTCGGACCTCACCCCGGTCGATCCGGAGGAGCTGGCGAGCATGGTGACGGGACGCGCGGGCGGAACCCGGGAGGATGGCGCGGCGGGGCCGGAACGGGTCATACCGGCGGAGGACCTGGAGCGGCAGCAGTCCGTCTGGTGGTATCTGCTGCTCGCGGCCGCACTGCTGTTTCTGAGCGAGACACTGGTCTCGAACCGGCTCTCCCGGACACAGTTGAGCGCGGAGTAGGCGCCCCCCTGGCGCGCGGGCGCGGCCGGCGCGGCTCCTGGACAAAACGGGAGTAAGATGAACTTTCTCCGGGCACAGGTTCGGAGGGACGGACGACGGGGTGGGAACGGAAGGCGGAGACGATGCTGAACGAGCCACTGCTGACCGGCGAACGGGACGAGATCCTGCGTGCGATCCGCCATGTCCGGAACCGCTGGCGTCTTCGTGTTGCGCTTCGGAGCGTTGCGGTGCTCGTGGCGGCCGCGCTCGGCACGCTGCTGGCGTCGTCGTACGGCCTGGAGGTGATGAAGTTCTCGCCGGGCGCCATCATCGGCTTCCGGATCGTCACCTATCTCGCGCTGCTGGCCGCCGGCTGGTGGTTCTTCATCCGTCCGATCTCGCGCCGTGTCTCCGACGAACAGGTGGCGCTCTACCTCGAGGAGAACGAGCCGTCCCTGCAGGCACGGAGGACCCTTCCGGCGGGTACGGTATGAGCGCGGTCGAAGAGGCTCGCAAGGGAAAACGGGAGCGCGCCGCGGATCACTCGCCTGAACTGGTCCAAGGGCTGATTGAATCCGCAGTCGAGCGAATCCGCGACGTCGACATGGGACGTACCGTCGAGCAACAGCAGTTGCAGCGGTCATCCGGCCTGCTGATCGCCGCCGGTCTGGCTGCGGTCCTGCTGTTCGTCTTCGGTCCCGCCTACCTGCGCCACGGGCTGTCCGCGCTCCTCACCCCGATGGCGGACGTCGAGGCATCCAGCCCGTACCAGATCGAGGTGCTGCCGGGTGACGCCACCGTCGCGCGCGGGGCCGATCAGACCATCACCGCGCGCCTGGTCGGGTTCGAGGCGGAAGAAGGCAATCTTCTGATGCGTACCGCCGGGGCGGGCGATACGTTCGAGCGCCTGCCGCTGATTCCGTTGGAGGACGACGCGGGCGAGATGGTTGCCGGGACGTACGAAGTCCTGCTGTTCGATCTCCAGGACGCGGTGGACTACCTGGTCGAATCGACCGGCGTCGAGTCGTCCACCTACACGCTCGACGTTATCGATTTGCCGTACGTCGAGCGGCTTGAACTGGAGTACCACTTCCCCTCCTACACCGGCCTGGAGCCGCGCCTCGTGGAGCAGGGGGGCGACATAGCCGTCCTGGAGGGAACCGAGGTGCGCCTGCGCGCCATCCCGACGATGGGGACAACCGGCGGCCTGCTGACCTTCGATGACGACGACGCGAAGACGATCGACCTGACCGTCGCGGAGGATGGCTCGCTCACGGGCAGCTTCCTGGTCGAGGAGGAAGGCTTCTACCGGATCGACCTGGCCGCGCCGGCCGGGGATCTGGTCGCCGCGTCGCCGCAGTACACGATCGACGTGCTGACCGATCAGCCCCCCTCCGCCATGTTCATCCGTCCGGGCCGCGATACCACCGCGACCGCGATCGAGGAGGTATTCATCGAGGCCCGCGCCGATGATGATTTCGGCCTCCACTCGCTCGACCTGGTCTACTCGGTGAACCGGGTAGCGGAGGAGTCGGTCAACCTGTTCAACAGCGGGGGCGCC